CCGTCTGACCATTTGGGTACGAAAAAAATGCCTAAATTAAATCTAAATGATTCAAAAAGTTGTATACGGGTTATAAGATTACTTTTGCATCGTTTTGGAGTTCTAATTTCACGTGAAAAAAAATCTGACCGTCTTATAGTGTGACCGGTATGACCATTTTTACACGAAAAATAAAGGTCTAAATTAAGTTTAAATGATTCAAAAAGTTGTATAAGGGTTACAAGAATACATTTCGTCGTTTTGGTGATCTAATTCCATATATAAAAAAAATCTCTCAACATAAATCATATTCACTCAAAGTGTGACCGGCAGACCAAATTGTGAATGTCTGACCAAAATCTGATCGGTATGACCAAAGTCTGACCGATATGACCAGTATGACGTTTTAAGAGCCAAAATTTCTATGAGGATTTTTATCGAACACTTTCCATGCATTCTCAGTTTTTTCAATTTTGGAATGTAAAATCTCGTCATAGTAGAGAAAATATATCGAATGTAAGATGAAAATTGAGAAATTTGTTGTTAGAATCGCCAACGACATTTCTTTGGAGAGAGAAAGAAAAAAAATACGTTTCGAATTTTTTAAAAAAGTGAGAGAATAAATTTTTTGAAGGTTTTTTCACTATATAAAGAATTGCCACGTATTCAATTTTTTAAGGGCAAACTAGTCTTTTCGTCATTTTAGTTTTTTTTTTGAAAACCCTAAACCTAGAAGGTCATCCCTTGAAGTAAAGATAGACATTTGAGGTTATTTTTGCAATTTTGCCTGTGGAGAGAGACGAGATGGAGCTCTTCTGATGCCGGAGCGACTACTTATTTGACCGTTTGAAATTTGAAATTTGCTTCAGAATTTATTTTAAGGGAAAGGGAAACAAAAGATCGAGAACCCAGTGATCTGACGGAAAATGGGCTTTATTTGGGCCATTGCTTATTAAAATCAAATGGGCTCATTGACTCTGGAACAATTAAAAAAATATATTTTATAATTTATTTAGAAAGGGCCCATTGAAATTTTCTTTCTTCAAATTTACTTCACAGGTAAAAAAAAAAAAAGTGATTCAAATCAAAAAAATGAAAACTATCTAATATCTTGTACATGTATCACCCGACTAGCATGTGGGGCCCATTGAGGCCCAAAAATGCCCACTTTTTGTCGGCCCAAATCTGTAATGCTTTTCATAATGTTTTTCACACTTGTTATGGTCTAACATATATTATTTAACATTTTTCCTGACATCCCAAACCAAAAAAATGACACTTATTCACCTTAACATAATCCGTAAATCAATTAAAAAAAATATGATTTTATAAAGTATTTTTGTACATCCATAGAGGCCCTTTATTATTGGATGTGTGCTCCATTAATTTCTTTTCAGGGTACTTCAAAATTCAATTAACAAATCGTTCCACATGCATATATGATTATTGAAGGAGGACCAGTACTAATCGTAAAAAAAAGAAATAAGAGAGAAAAATAAGAAAAAGAATAAACAATAACAGTATTTTATTTATTTATTGACAAACTCTAAGATCAAAGTAAAATTACCAAAGCAAACATCTTAACACTGTTTTTCTCTCACACTAATAGATAACATCACAGATTCAAATTCTTTCCTCATGAACCATTCAACTTATCAAAAGAGAATTTTTTTTGTGAAATTAAAAAAAAAAAACAGAATACACATGACAACAACATCATGAATCTCAATCTGGATAATTTCAATCGATTCAAGGAAAAAAAAAAGGTATCCGAAAGAGAATGGATCGAGATTCTACCATCTGGTTATTGTAAAGAAGCTGCTGATGAACAAAATCTTCACCAATCATCCACACTGTAGTGTTTTTTTTTTTTTTTTATCTCGCTAAGATCTATTCTTGATGTTTCTCCGAGAAACAAAGATCTAAAAAACCTGTCTTTTGTTTGTGCTAATGAAAGAAGAAAAAAAAAACAGAATTCCGCAGAACTTACGAAGAACTCCTTAAAGGCTGCAATGGCAATGGCTGCTCATCTTCAGATCTCATCGCCATTTGATAATCAGTTTCTTTTTTATCACCTATGTCGCGATTCCTGGAAACATAGATCATCATAAAGGGTCGGAAATGATTCTTGTATTCATCAATACAGGAACAGTAATGGAAGTAAAAGGGACACGATCAGGAACAAGTTACATCAGATGTTCTGTGTCTTTGAGTTTTCTCAATGTACCTCTATGTGTTTGTCTATCTCCAACGCTGTAACTTCCAGTGTAACCTTCTGAGCCATTGGAAGATGGGTCTAAGCCTACATTGCCAATAGTGTAGCTGAAAGGACGAGAAGACAAGCCGTCTAGCTCGTCAGAAGACTGAGGAGGAAGTGGTGGTTGCTGCCATGTCGGATCGTTGTAAACTGAGCCGCCTCTATACAGTTCTCCTATGGAACCCTCGAGACCGTTTGTTCCTGAGAACGAAGACACCGAAAGTCCAGAACCCGTCCCGAAATTTCTCGGATGCCCGTTATTACCGTTGGGAACAGATGAAAGTCCCCAGCTCCCTCTGTTGTTTCCAATGGAAACACCACCGAGGCTCCATCCTGAGCCACCCGAGGCAGTAGAGTCAGTTCTATTTGCCCACAAGTCTCTATTCCCCGAGCTATAAGCAGGAGGGTCGATTCTGTTATATCCGATTGGAGTGTTGTAACGGTTAGGCGAGGCAGCACCATTGTAGTAAGGGTTGCTCAGAATCCGGCCATATCCGGGACTGTTTCCAAATGTGGGAGTTGTTCCATCATAGCTTGGATGATTCAAACTCAGATCAAGGTTCATATCGAGCCCAAAACCAGAAAACGCAGTTCTACCGCTACCAATAGGACTAAACCGACCAACCGAATTCACATTGTAACCAGGAGAAAAACTATTCAAGTAGATATTAGCAGAAGCCCTATTCGGACCGCCATAGTTACCGTATCCAAGAACAGGGCTTCGGTTAGAAGGAGCTGGGGATGGAGACAGCTCTTTCGGCACCGCCCTTTTCACCTCGACCATTTTCCCGTTGAGTTCGTGAAAAGTTTTGTGGAGAACTCTATCGACGGAATCCTCGGAATCGTAAGTGATGAATCCAAAGCCTCGTGGCCTCTGAGTATTGTGATCATACATCACCACAACGTCAGAGATCGAACCGAACTGATTAAAGTAGTTCTTGAACTCGGCCTCCGTAATGCTCGAAGGTAAACCTCCGACAAAGATCTTTTTTGTCCGGCCACCGCCATGTCCTGGTGGTGACATATGGTGTACGGGACTTGCGTGCTGTTTCAGGCCTTGTTGGTCATCCCGTGGAACCGCTTTCTTGGCCTCGACCTGGAAAACCCGAAAGAACAGTTCACCGTTTTCTGCTAATTCAGTTCTAACATTACATTGTAACATTCCCCAGTCCAAATCCACCAGAAATCAAATCAGAAGCTTCTGATATCATTATCATATCATGCAAAGCAAATGCAGCTAAGGGGGAGCAAGCAAATTCCAAAGTTCATCATATGACCATTCGCCATAAAACCCAGATGATTCTGGGAGAAAGATGAAGAACTTTACTAACCGTGCGACCATCGATCATGTGTTTCTCCATGATCACTCTCTCTGCAACACAAGGATCTGCGAAGACGATGAATCCGAAGCCACGGGCTCGTCCCGTGGCACGATCTCTCATGATCACAGCTTCAACCACTTCTCCGTACTTGCTGAAGTACCCTCTTAGTCGTTCTTCGTCTGTATCCCACGAAATCCCACCGACGAAGAGCTTACCCAGATCCGATTCCATCTCCCTTTTCTTTTTTTCCTGCAAAATCAACAATTCATGAGCGAAATCGCGCAATCGAGGCATGAATCCGATCTCAGGACAGGATCAGTGTGTAATGAGATTGCCCAGTGGATCTAATATTGGAACCAATGGATTCAACGATCGGGAAACTCGAAATCCAGAATTCTGAGATCGAAGAGCTAATTTCTTAGCTGCCTCTTATCCAGATTTATCCAGCTTAAAGCGATGAGATTGGACATCACAAAGGTTCGATGAGTATCGAAGAATTGAACCCAGAAGAATGAGAGCAACATGAAATTGAAAAATCGATGAAAAATTAAACAAAAAAAAGGCGGAAACATACTTTTGTGTCTGAAAATCTAGACAGAATCCAATCCTTGTCTCGATCAAATAGGAGTTGGGTGATCTTCAAATCTGGCACAGGACAGGATCATCCAATCAGAGAAAAACAATATAGAAATTCAGACACTCCTAAAACAATCAAACGGGAGACGCGATGAATGAAACAGAAAAGAAAATATGGAAGCATCTGGAGGGAGGAGGAACATCTAAGAGGCAAAGAACAGAATAAGTAGTAGTGAAAAATTCACCATTTTGGAGATGACCCAGATGAGGAAATGCGGAGAGCCTAAGATCTGGAAAAAGAAACAATAACAAAAGAAACAGAGGATGTTCTGTTCATTCTATATGGCATCCTCTCTCTCTCTCTCTCTCTCTCTAAGCTTATTAAAATCTTTCCTTTTTATTTTCTGTAATGATTTCTTAATTTATTCCGAAATTTCTTTGCTTAAACCATTGAAATGGATTCTCTTTCTCAACCAAAGATGGTAAAAGAAAGAAGAACAACAGTCACATATAATAATAGGAGGAAAGATTAGAGCTTTGCATTTTTATGGCGTTTAGAATCTTTTTTTGGAGACCTCAAGCACGAATTGACAGATTATGGATGATGACGATGACCCCCCCCCCCCATCATTTTGAAATTTTAGAAAAAAATCTAAAATACATTATTAGCTTATTTAATTATTATTACAACTAACATAGGAATTCGCATGTAACCTAATAAAATCAGACCAATTCCGTGTGTATATATATTGTTGCATTCATTACTTGTGTAGATTACAAATTTTGGTTATTTATATCATATGTTTGGTGAAATGTGACTGATAAGCATTTTACATTTTTCACTATGACTAATATTCAATGTTAATGATATGGATACGTTGCAAAGTCAATATTTTATATTTTTGTTATAACTACATTCTATGTTGACATATGCTTACAATTTTCTAGAAATAAAAATAGATAATATATGATTGGTGTAAACTATCTACTTTAAGTTTAATTGCAATATATTTACTAGTTTAGTATTCATATTTTATATAAATTATTTGCAAAATATATTAAATTATTCACTTTTATATATCTGACCCCAAATAACCGTCTACGTTTTCAAGTAAAATTACCCATCTTAATTATTTCTCCCTAAAATGCTTGTAGGGTTTGTAACTTGTAAAAACAATCTCTCTTTGATTATTTTTTTAGAGTATAGTTTTTGTTCAACAACTCTTTTTCACACCTAAATATCTTAAGGTAGAAGAAGAGAAATAAAAGAATATATTATCTATCTTTTTATATATATATATAGACCAGAAAAGCAAAATTGATTAGGAGATTACATGTTATCGTAATTATAAAGGTGTCTGAATTTACATATAGCTAATAGCTATATTTTATGTATATGTGAATGTTGTGTGTCAAGTCAAGAAGGATAATACTGTATAAAATTGAATGCAGGTAAATAAAAAAATACTTATATTATACTCAAATAAAATGCAAAAATAAAAATTAAATGGATTATATAAATATAAAAATATGTAAAAATTTAAAAGGTTATATTTTTTATAAATTAAGAATTATCTAATTCGAATTGAATTAAATACAATATAAAACTATATATACATCTATATAATTTTTTTTCTAGAAGAATTACCAAACCTAAATTCGAAAATCCCCCTACTATTCATATTAGCCATTGTTCTTTGCATAATGAACCAACAGTGTGACAAAATAAAATTTTCAAACAGGCTTATATCAATGGTTGGAAAACTTTTTCCACACACACGCATATACATATATATATTAAAAATACAAAAATAATTGTATAATACTTTCACATTTAAATATTTTATGGGGTTTACCAATAGTGGACAATATCTATATGTATATATAAGGAAAATAAAATTATAAAAGAAAGGAACACACAAAGTTTGGTGTGGCGACCAACCATGTCCACACCAAAGCCAAAGGGACCGAGTCCCTCCCATCCATCAATGTCTTCCCCCAACAAATTTGACAACCTTCACATAAAGCCTCAAATTTGTATATACACACATTCATGACATTGACTTTGCCTTTAGGAAAATATTTTCCCTTTTTTTTATTTCTAATGTATAAGAATTTATTTTTACATCGATTTTGTTTTATCACATTTTCCTTCCACCCACGGAATTTTTCTAAACTTCGACCGCCGAATAACAAGCAATAAAAACTTAAATATTTACAGGTGTTTTAGACTAAAAAAATGGGATAAATAAATATATAAAGTTTTTTTTAAAAAAAAATTGACACGCCTTGTAAAGAAGTCTTAAAGAGAGATGATGATAAGAATTAAAAAGTAGACGTATGCATTTGTATAAAACATTTTGATGACGTGATTCTTATGTGCAAACTACAAAAACCATGACTTCCTAGTCCGTGTCTTTTGTTGCGGCCTTTGAGACGGTTTGCTTATACAAAACGATGCATTTATAATCAAAACCATTCAAAGTACCCATCAGTGGGTGGTCGAGTGGCGAAAGGGTGCTCTGTGCCCCGGTCGCCAGTTCGAAATCAGGTGATGAGGAGGGAGGGGTATTTCTCGGTTGAGAGGGTGTTGCTCTCTGGGCCCTTATCGCCGGGCCTCTAGAGGCTGCTCCCGGGCCTAGGGGATGTAGGTTGGGCCGAAGGTCAAGGTGAACCTCCTGGTTAACGAAAAAAAACCATTCAAAGGCGTTGGTTTTCCGGGTCAATTTGGTTACTACTTTGAATTAATCTAAACCAAGTAATATACTATATTTAAAATGAATTCAATTTAAAATCTTTTGGTGTAATTTTTTAAGATTGAAAAAACCAAACACTAACCAAATGAAAAATAACAAATTTTGTTTATAAAATGAATATATTTATCAATAAAACCTGAAAAAAAGAACCGAATTCAATACAAATGGTTGTGTTAATCGAATACAAACATGGACCGAAACCTGAAACCACACTCTGTCTCACACACACACACACACACACGTATATATATGCACTCATGTAATGATACATATACAAATTGCAGCTTTTATTTCCCAAAAAAAATGAAGAAGAAATACATTGAATAGGAAACTTCTATGTACACACACACAAAACAATGAAGAGGAAAAGAGTGTTATCCTTAGTTAGTCTCTCTGTTTTCCTCGTCCTCGTCGTCATCATCATCTTCTACATCAACAATTCCGTCAAAGAACGGATCAAACAATAGCTCAGCTGCCGAAGGTCTCGCTTCCGGCTGGGAAGCAATGCACTTCTCGATGAAGGCCTTCGCCTCTGGATCCTTGATCTTGCTCATCGTCGAGGGCTTTACCCCGTTCGACACCTTCCTGTATATCTTTGCTATGCTATCGCACTCGCTGTAAGGGATCTCTCGTGTCACTAGCTCCAACACGCACATCCCGAACGAGTATATGTCCACCATCTCGGTGTAGTTCTCCTCATATAGCTCGGGAGCCATGAACTCGGGCGTCCCGAGGATCGAGTGCGCTGAATGGCTCTTCCCCACGATCGCAGCCAGACCCAGATCACCAATCTTGACCTGGTGGTTTCATTATCAAGACACAAACTTTGATCAGCACCCAACAAAAGACTCGGGTTCGTTTACATGCTGCTATCAAGCTCGGAAATGCAGGAGCTTTTCCTGACCTGTCCGGTGTTGCCATTGACGAAAACGTTGCTGCAGTTGAGGTCCCTGTGGATGATGCAGGGGTCATGAGTGTGGAGATAATTCAAGCCCTTCAAGATCTGCTTCGACCATTTCTTCAACGCTTTCATCGAGACATGCCCGTGTTTCTTCCGGTACTCCCTCAGATTCCCCGAGGTGCAGACCTCCGTGATGAAATTCAAGGTGTTTCGGTTCTCGTCTCTCCAAACCTTGTACAAGGCTATGATGTTCTTGTTCTCCAGTGTCTTCAGCAGCCTGACCTCTGAGTATAGCCGCTCGACCATGGCTGGATCGTTCGAGAAATTTCGCAGCTTGACTTGGTTCCATGCCACTTCTATGCCTTCCTCTTGGTCAAATGCCCTGTACACCTTCTTCACGGCACCGGCCCCAAGCAGTTCACCGTACCGACCGTATCTGCCAGTCGGATCAACCTCGATAAAGTGCTCGGAATCATTATCTGGCGGTTCAGAGCTCACACAAATCATCTGCAGGGGAAAACAGTGAAACCTTGATCAATCTCCAAATCGAAATTCACAAAACACAGGTTGATTATACACATTAACAAAAACATTTAAAAAATCGCACAGATTGGTTGATATGTGCAAACATGGACAACAACAGTACAGATCGGTTGAACGAACAAACAAAATATACCAGATAACTAGCGAAGAAGATCAATCTTCACGACACAGAAACCAAATCCACGACAAGGGTATACTGGAATCAAGTTCGAAATTCATTTTCTTGTAATGGGTCGATCAAATCTTCGTGCATAGACGATCAAATCAAAGCGACAAGCGTATAAACCCTAATTACTGGAGACAATTCGACCAAAAAGAGGACAAATCCCTCAAGATCGCTGCAATTCCGGAGAATTCGTGAGATTCGAACACCAAATAACGAGAATTAAGCAAAACCCATTGAAAGATGGAAGAACATACCATGAAACAGGATCGAATCGGCGAGAAGGAGAAGCAGGAATCGCCTCTTGCTCTTGCTTTGCCGTGAAAAAAGAAGCAGCGTCGCGAAGCAGCGATGAGTTTGAAGGAAAAAGAAGCGGAAAGGTTCCAGTTGAGTTTAATTTATAAGCGGACGCGTTACGTGTTTTTTATTCTAATTGATTTATGTACAATATTATCATTATAATTATAATTATTCTACTCACGTAAACGTAATTTTAGGGAGAAATTAGAGTTATAAAATCTGAAAAATTACTGTATTCCTAATTCTATTGAAATAATATATTTCTCTCATAATTAATCCATTTTTTAAGAATTAGAAATATATATTTAAATTTATAAACCCAAAATAAATAGGGAGAAATTACATCATATAATATATATATATATATGTAGGTGTTGTTTGTTCCGCCGCGTTAATATATAAAAGTCAAACTTTCGGCGCGTGTGGGGAGAGGGGAGAGAGAGAGAGAGAGAGAGAGAGAGAGAGAGAGAGAGAGAGAGAGATGAAATCCAGACCGTCAATTTTAGCAGGAGGAATGATTCTATGCCACGTGGACTGTATAGATGAAGCTAGAGATTTACTTTGAATAAAATAATAGAAATACACGTAAAAAATATATTTTATGTCAACACCCAATTAAAATTAAAATTTTAAAAAAACTATATTGTATTTGACGCTATTTATATATGTATATAAGATACACACCCACCACATACATATATATATATATATCAGCTAACGTACATGATATATGTATCTGTGTATATATATATAAACATGTATATATATATATGTATAAGTATGTATATATGTATGCATTTTTTAAATTTTAATTTTTGCTTCTCTTTTTAAACGTATAAAAGAAACAAGGAGATATGCATGTGAATGTGATATCTTCTTCAATCACGTTAATTCACATCTAAAGGGCTTTGGCCACTTGAGTCTTTGCATGCGTTTCATCCAATGCATGCATGCATGCATCCTATGCATGTGAATTCAAAATAAATTAATAGACAGTTTCTTCGTTTATATTTTTCAGTGTTAAATTTGGTTACCAAATTTTCCTTGGTTTCAAAAACTAACACCATAGCTACATATAATATTATCGATTTCTTATATCAATTAATAGTTATTGGGCCTAAATATAGTTGTAATAAATAAGATATTGAAATCAACCGGAACTTTAGTCAAATCAACTCAAATTTATATATCTTTTTTTTTATGCAAAACTAAGAGATGGCAACATAAAATTTGATAAGGGAAAATCTAATTATTCAATATCTCAATATATATTAAAAAACCCGATTTTTGTTCGTTTGCTAAATTTCATAAATATTGCTGTTTTTTTTTTGTACTTTCATAATATTGCTGTTACATTTCGGAATTTATGTTTTGTCGAAAAAAAAAATTCAATTTTAAAATAATTTTTCAATAAAAATGTATAGATTGAAGAGCCTCAAACCAAGAGAACAAATAGAAATGGAAGACGTGAAGAGAAGAATACCCAAATCGTCACTTTTGTATTTACTTTTCTTTCCCTTTTTCTAATTAATTTCTCTAAAATTCGTGACAACTATTACCCCAAAAAAAAAAAAAAAAAAATCGTGACAACTAACAAGTGTCGGACAAAAAGATAGATTCCAAGCTCCAACCATACATGTGATGATGGAGAATACCAAAATGGACATCCCTCCACGTCACAAAACCATTACGGGCCGAGTTTGTATTTTCGGCCCAATACGATATTGGTCTGATCATTTATGGGCCTAAACCTATATGGCCCACCTTTCATTTGGATGCACTTATCAAATTGTAGCAATAAAAAATTCAATTATATAAAATATGGAAATAATAATACCATTGATTTGTCGTTTGGTGGAGGTTCAATTTCAAAATCGAATTTTAAGATTATGATAGATATGTAGTAAAATAGAAAAATAGATTTAATTTCGGGATTTATGAAAAATAAAGACCGAAAGGAGGAAGAGGATGAATAGAAGAAATGAATGAAAGCCGACAAATGCCGGTTTCTTCTTAGATCGGATGTAATAAGTCAACTTATTTCTCCGTTTACTGACAATCTTCACACACACACACGCATACACAAAGCAAAGCAAAGCAACTCTTCACCATAGCTGGGAGCTTCCCATTTCACCCTCTCCCCCTCTAGGTTTTCGCTATGGAGCCGGAAAATTTCGCCGGCAAGGTTTTCCGCTCGGCGGCGGGAGATCCGGAGACGAGGCAGAGAGCGACGGACGCCACCACCGGCGGCGGCGGCGGAGGCGGAGGGGCAAGGTACAAGCTGATGTCTCCGGCGAAGCTTCCGATCTCGAGGTCGACTTGCATCACGATTCCTCCTGGACTGAGTCCGACGTCGTTTCTGGAGTCTCCTGTTCTCCTCTCCAACATCAAGGTCAGTGCTTTGAGATCGTACCTTACCTTTTGTTTTTTCCCGGTGAAAGTATTTGATGAGAATCGAATGTTTGACTTTATTTGAGGGTTTAGGTTTTCTGATTGAAATCCTAAGATCTGTAGGGTTCTGCAGTTGTAATGACTTTTGGGATTTGATTCAGTGCATTTTCTCGGCAGCCAAACAGATTATTTCCTGACAGTTTATTCCATTGCTGAGTTATGTAATAAACTTTTACGAGTTTCTCTGTGCTTCGATCTCAAGCCGGGGCATTCTCGTATCTTGTCGTCCCTGTCTTGTCACCCCAGTAGATTTAGTGGAGAATTTCTAGGGTTTCTTAATTGGGTTCTATAATTTGGTAAAGATTCCTTTTGTTTAGACACAAGGAAAAATATTGAAATTCTGCTTCCGTATTCGGTTTCTTTCTAATTTGCAAACATTAAAATACATGATTTGTTGCTCATGTAAGGGGACCTTTGCTCAGATTCTGATTCCTGCCATTACTATACTCTGCATTGGAGCTTTTGTGTCCGTTTAGATTGTTCTCTGGAATAAACCTCCTTTTTCCTGTGTACTATCGATGATGTATTGATTTATACGTCCCCGTTCTTCATCGTTTTCCTATCTCCATGTTTCGGATCTTCCCTTTGGTTGGTGGTTCTCTTGCTTTTTCGTTTTTCGTGTTTCATTATCGGTTTTTGTAGGTTGTATGGATAACGGGACAGAGTCTCGATTCAATCGGTGAGAGCAAGTGTTTATATATGCTTGCTTAGCCCGTTAGGATGGTTAGAGAGGAAAGGAAACACTTCCGATATAGTTTCTTAAGTAATGGGGGGTTAACTCTGCTATAGCGAAGTAATGATCTTTCTCGTGTTTTCTCCTGTTGCTTCTGACAAAGTTTGAATACGTAAACTTTCCTCGACTTTCAGGCAGAACCGTCCCCTACTACCGGTTCCTTGTTCAAGCCTCAACCGGTGCATGGTTCTGTTAGTTCGAGTTGCTACCCGGGAAGAACAGTACACCTGAATACATTTGAGGAGAAGAAGTCTAGTGAATTTGAGTTCAGACCAGCTCCGGTGTCTAATATGGTAAAGGCCTACAAAAAATTGCTGTTTTGAATGTGTTTTAACAGTAATCTGCTGCTACAACTGGAGAGAACATCTTAACTCTGAACAGTAACTAGTTATGTTTTCGAATTGCTACTTGTTAGATGCGTCTCGACTCTCGAGTAATCTCCTTCCCCTGGATGATACAGTAGGACATCAAAATTAACCAGAAGCATGAAGTTCAGACATTCCTTGTGTTCTGTTACTGTTTGTAGTTGTCTGAAAAGCTCTATTGATTTCAAGGTTTCTGCAGAGCTGGAAAAGCAGAGAAGTGAGCCACCTGCTCAATTCCGAGGTCGCGGCCACAGCCTCTCGCAGATTCCATCTTTGATCAGTGAAGCAGTTGCATCCTCAAGTGAGCTGACCCGACCAATTCCTCCTCTTCAGACAATAGCCATAGGCTCTGATATTCCTGCT